TGAACTTACCGGGTGAAATCAAAACACTTGAGAAAGCTTTGTGCAATATTTTCATTGTTCTGGTAAAACAAAGTACATATGCATGTATGAGCCACAAACTACAAAGTGTGTATTCACTATACAAGTTAAATGATCTTACAGTTATGTTCAAAATTGGCATTGCAAAATATAGACAAATGGTGAAATTTATATGAATACTTTAAAATTATAATTTTTCTTTACTTAGTACAATATTAATTGACTAATGAAAACATCATGATGACCTGAGAAGCACTATGGAAGAAAGGAAAAATCTTTACATGTTAGTGGCTTTCACGGCATTTTTATTTTTCCTGCTGTTTGAAAAAGAGTCTTGCATTGTCATTTTGTCTTGGGTCCCCACAGGGATCCCCAACCCCAAGACCGTGGACCAGTATCATTCTGTGGCTTGCTAGGACCCTGGCCACACAGCAAGAGGTGAGTGGAACTCCATTTTCTGTCAGATCAGTGGTGGCATTAGATTCTCATAGGAGTGTGAACCCTATTGTGAACCACACACGCAAGGGATCTAGGTTGTGAGCTCTTTGTGAGAATCTAATGTCTGATGATCCTCTCCCTACCCCTCATCCATGGAAAAATTGTCTTCCATGAAACCGGGTACCTGATACTAAAAAGGTTGGGGACCACTGCCCCAAAATATGTAACTGGTCCTGCCCTCCTTTGGTGGAGTGAAGAGTCCACAGGGCCAAGGGATTATGTCCATCCAGTGTGTATCTTCCCCTCCCCTCTTTCTAGAATATACCTTATGTAACTAAACTAAAATTCCCTGACAAATACTCATCCTCCTTCCATGGTCTGCGTGCGTCAGAACTGACTTGGGTGCTGGGGTCAGTTCTCTCTAGGGCAGATTGCAACAAAGGTGTGTATACTTCCAGGCTGGAAAGATGGACAAAGGGCAGCTATTGAGGTGATGTGTGGACTGAACAGATCACACCCAGGTGCATGAGGCCCTACAGGGTTTGAACGGTAGAGTGGAGCAAGGTAGGAAGAAAAGAGGGTGTACCGTGGCCCATCTGTTCCTGAGCCGTGTTCTGTGATGACACTGAGAGGTTTCCAAGAATTTTACATTTGAAACTGGCCTTCCAAGTCATTGTGAAGGAGTATTTGTCAAGAAAGAAGATAAACACATTTTAACAGCTTGTTAGCCTGATTTATGATGTTTGTGAATGGTATTTAGATCTGTTGTTGTAGACTTGCCTCAGGATTACCAAACATTAGCGGAAGGCCTGGTTATGAGTATGTGACGCACTTCATGCCTGGCACTTAGTGAAAAATCCAGTCAATGGTGGCTTTGATCGTTATCAGATAAAGATAATTGATGATTACAATAATGTCACACCATTTTCTTCTTGACCGTGACCCTGAAATCCCGCTCCCATTTCCCTCCCCTACACTGCTTCTCACTGAGTCGGAAGATTGATGGTGATAATGGTGGTATTCTGCTTTGCAATCCTCAGATACGAAGACCTTGCCTTAAGTGGACCGGTTGCCTGGATCTTTGAGACATTTATTTATCTATTCAACAAATATTTGTGAAGTACCCTGCGTCCCACTGACATACCCTGCCAGTAGGAGTGTAACTGAATTCCTCTGCCTGCCTGAATCATGCATGCGTTTAGTGCGCCCTCTGGAGTTTAATTGTGCCATCCATTCTATAGATCATCACTTTTTTTAGTTCCCTCTCCCCCTTGTGAATTTTAAATTGCTTTTGAAATTTAGGAAAAGGTTTATCTCTAGTGACAGTTAAAATAGGTTAGGAAGAACCTTTTGACGTTTCCATTTTGGCATTTGGGTTTCAGGAACTAGGTGAAGTCGATTTTTCTCAATGACTATAACTGTGCTTTGCTTTGTCTTTCTAATTTAATGACTTTCTTGTCCTCATTATTTACTTCTTACTTGGACTGTTAAATTTGATTGTCTGTGTGAAATTTTACTGTAAAAGTGAATGCTGTTTTGGTAATTTGTCTTCTCTTTATTTTAATGAATCACTCTAACAAAAAATTTTGACACTTCTTGAAAAGTCTGAAACCAGGTAGAACTATTTGGAGGCAACTAAAATTCATTGAGGTCATATATTGGGTAGTTTTTAAAAAATATAGTTGAAAAACTACAGTGCTATCCAGGCATGGTGGCTCACGCCTGTAATCAGACACTTTGGAAGGCGGAGGCGAGAGGATTGCCTGAGCCCGCTGGTTTGAGACCAGCCTGGGCAACTTGGCAAGATCTCATCTCTACAATAAATCAAAAAATTAGCCGGGCATGGTGGCACATGCCCGTAGTTCCAGCTACTTGGAGGGCTGAGGCGAAAGGATTGCCTGCCCAGCAGGTCGAGGCTGTGGTAGCCATGAGCGTGCCACTGCAGTCCAGCCTGGGTGACAGAGTGAGACTCCGACTCAAAAAAAAAAAGAGAAAGAGTGAGAGCAAGAGAACTCATGATATTTGTGACAACACAGATGAGTCTAAGTGATATAAGCCAGGCACAAAAGGATAAATACCAGATGTTCTCACTTATATGTATGTGGAAGCTAAAAAAACCCCACAACAATTGAACGCATAGAAGCAGAGAATAGAATAGTGGTTACCAGAGACTGAGGTGTAGAGAAATGGGGAGATGGGGAGACGTTGGTCAACATGTACAATGTTTCAGTTAGACAGAGAAACAAATGATAAGAATTTGAGGTGCTGGATATTTTAATTAGCTTGATTTAATCATTGCATATTGTATACATATATCAGCAGCACTTTGTACCCCAGACATTTTTGCAATTACAACTGGTCAATATCCAACAAAAAAATTAATTAAAAAGTAATTAGATCCCTAGAGTCATTGCAGAGTGCATCTGGCAATAGATTTTGCCCAACATGACTGGTTCCAAGATGTGGTAATATTTGGAAAGATGAGGTTTGATTAGGATCATTTTGCTTCTTTTCTTTCTCTTAGTTTCCCCTCCTTATTTTACACCTATAGCCAGACATCATGAAAGTGGAAGCATCACTCCATGCAGCCAATACCACATGTGGATCATGTGTCCAAACCGCAAGTTTCTGCAATATCTACTTCCCCTAAAATAGAGCCTATATATTGTGCATTGCTCATTGTCCGCTCGCTTGTTTATATTCTGGCCAGCCAGAAGCTCTGAGAGGAGGAACTGTACCTAGCTTATTACTCATTGTAATCTTGGCATCCAACTTGGATGCCAAGTTTGGGACACCATGTGGGTACTTAACAAATATTTGTTGAATAGATAAGTAAATGTCTCAAGCACACAGACAATATGCTAAAGCAAAGCTAGAGATTTTCAAGGCAGATGTGATAAGAAGGTAAGTAGATGAGAGAGCTGAAAAAGTTGTCAAAGGAGGAGTTGGCCCCTGTATAATTCCTTTCCAGAACAATGCTGTGATATTAACTCCATTGCCTTACAGTGAAGGATGCTATAATTAGCACCACATTAAACTTGCTGTTGTGACTATTGTATGAATGATGCTGAGGCTGAAGCCCTTAACATCACAGTGGCTTAATATATTGAGGATCCATGGATGAGACTTTCTGTGAGTCTCAGGACTGGGAAAAGTCATGCTTCTCCTGGTTTGCTTTTCACTATAGCCTCTGCTAATCTTGTTTCTATATATGTCTCCTATGTCCTGCCTACTTGTCACAAAATGAAATGTGTGTCCTGGCTGTAAGCAACTGAACAGAGCATTATAGTATGCGTTGGCTATGGTGATCCTTCCTTTAGTTTTTATTATATATTCGCTTCACTCCATTTCTTTGTTATGTTTGTGGTATGTGTTTCTAAGATGCCCCAAATCCTGTTTTGAAGTAAAGAAGGTCTACAAACAAAGAAGTAAATATGGAGTTTACATAGAATACAATTCTAGATATTTTATTTTTAATCATAAAGAGAGCCACTCCCATCTTGAACTTATTATGCTGATAACTGAGAACCTGAGATACTTTTCACAAGAATATCTGTCCTTGCAGCCACTGGAATCTGTGATTAGTCCTCGATGGGGACAGCCAGATGGTTAGGTCTATATTGCATCTCTTTTTCCTTATCTTCCCCTTCCTCTTTCATCTGTCATGTCTGCTAGCCTCTCCCACCCTTATTCAAGTCCTTAGTGTGGTTCTCAAAGGCCTCCTTTTCAGGCACAGCTCTGATCTTATTTGCCTCCTGGCTTCAAAAATAATTTCCTCAAATGCTCTTACTTGCCGACAGGAAAAAGGCTAGTTCTTACACATCTTTGTATCCCTAGGACCCAGCTTTGGCCTGGAATATTGTAAGCAGCTGATGAACATTTGTTGAAAGAACTGAAATACATTAAATAAGGCAATGCATATATGATATTGTAGAGCACTTGGCACAAAGTACACAATAATTGCTTATTTCTCAATCATTTTTCCCTTCACACCTGGCCTAAAGTTACTTTTCCACCTCATTCCCCATACTGTGGCTTTAAGCATCACCAATTCTTGTAATTTCATGCATGTACCATGAAAGTTCCTATGGAACCTCCATCATACTGTTATTTCTTTCTATAATGCAGTCCTTTCCTTAAATGTATCATCCTTGCTCAAATCCGGAGAAAAGCAGACATATTCCTGGTGATGTTGGTCAAAGCTTCTATATGACAAGCCATGCCTTTTCTATTTAAATAATTTGTTTTGAGCATTTCTGGCATGCTCCACCAAAATAAACCAAACACATTTTAGTAACTCTATTCATTAACTACAATTGCCTGTCCTTTATAACCAGCAAGGTTCCTTAAGTGAATAAAAATGTACTTCTATTCATTGATACACACACTGCTTCCTTCTGGTATTCAGAATCATTAATAAAAAACAGAGCAATGATTAAATTTTAGATTTGAACGGATAGTTTTTATACATACATACCCAACTATTTAGGATTTTATTTCATTGTATCATTCTCTACAGTAAGTCTAATACAATTTAGACAAACTTTATAATCAAAAGAAGAATGAATGATTTATTTTATTTCTCTAATGAAAACTCAGTTCAGGGCTACCGACAGCTGTAGTTCTCCTAACCACTTCCACATAATTTTTAAAATGTGAATACCAGGAATTGTGCTGTTGATATTAATATCAGGACAAGGAACAGAAGTGTCATCAGGTTGAGGTGTCTCTGGAGGGGTCTGTGGAGGAATAAACAAAGATACTTGTGCAATGTTAGATATTTCGGATCTCAGATTGACCTTATCAACAGCCTGAACAGCAATGAAGAGATCTGTGCCATTTTCAAAAGTGATGTTTTCTGGTTTAAACACAAAGATTTCCTCAGAGTTGGCTTCCTTCGGGATAAGATGTGTAGTATTCACTTGAAGAGAATCATCGAACTTGTCTCTGAGATCAAGAATACTTGTACTTATTCGGATGATATACTTGTGAGCTAAAAAGACAAAAAGGATGTGATTTGCAATTCTCAGATCTTAAAGAAGCTTCTTAAGCAGTAGAGCTAAAAAGAATCTTAAACTTTAAATGTCTACTAGAAATTATATCACCGTCCCATAAATTTCCTGAATAAATGGAATTGATGGTCCATATTTACAAGGGTGAGTATTTCTTTTACATTCGTGTTTGTATATCCTGACATAGTGACACATGTAAAACTTAATTGGTATGACTTAAAGCCTTGGCCAGCATTTCTAGGCATAGCATCTGACTGAGAGAAGAGATTGCTTAATTATTTTATTATTTTGCTATTTATAGAAGGATTTTTGTATCAGTGCTTCTCACGCTTTAACATGCCTACAAATCACCCAGGGATCTTAAACACAGACTCTGATTCAGCAAGTCTGGGTTGGGGCCTGAGGCTCTGCATTTCTAACAAGTGCTCACGGGATGCCTGTGCTGCAGTTCACAGATCAGACTTTGAGAGATAAAGTCTTGGGACCTGAGGTTCCTTCCAAAGGACAGCTGTGCTCTGGATAACTTCGCTCTCTTCCCAGTGCTTCCCCAGGAGTCACTATGGAAAATGGGGTTTATCAAAGGACAGTTTGGCAGGATTTCATGGGGGGAAAAAACGAAGTTTTTCTTTCCTGGCTGAAACCTCTTGTTCCCAGATATGCCAGCTTTCCAGATTTCAAACCTCTCTTCTTTACCTTTCATTTCAGAGGACAGCACCCTCATGTATCATGACACGCCTGCCAGCCTCCCCACCTTCTGCTTAGCTGGTAAACCCCTTGACATGATTCACATCACATCCAGCTTACCTGTTCCGTGATCATAATCGTCCCCAGGGGCGGTCCATGTCAGGTTGATGAGATTGCCCCCTTGGATTTTCGCCTTCAGGTTGGTGATTTTGCAAGGTGGGAAGAGATCGGGAATGGGAGCCTTTGGGATATCAGAGGCCACAAATGAACCCCCAGAGGTTGTTCTGCTGAAACACACCTGCTTGTCTGGAAGATCATTCTTCTGAATTTCAGGTCTTGGTGGATTCCATTTTATTTTACCTGCGTGAAAAAAAATTACTCAAAACATGGTAAGCAGCACCACTAAAAGTGTATGCCTCCTTTTGTTTTCTTATTGGATCACTCTCTCCTACTCTCTTCTGCTTCTTTCCTCCCATACACAAAATTTATTTAAAATGTTTGGTGACAAGATCCCAGAATAGCTTACATCAGAGGGAAAATAACAAAGACAAAATGATGGTTCTCTATCTCAGATATTTCCTAGATTTCTAGTGGGATGATCTTTTGGGATTTATTTTCATGACCTTTGTCCTGAAAATGCTTGTTTTCCCATCTTTTTGCCTATCCTGATCTTACCCTTCCACTAGGTCAGTTTAAATACTACTTCTGTTTTCTCTTCCACCTAGGTAATACTGTGACTTTCATTACCTTTTCTATTTAATCATCTGAGCCTTCAAGAATTGCCTTGATTGTTTATTCTGTGCATACTTCTTTCACTTTCTCTGTGTTTGTAGGTTGTTTTTTTTTATTAGATCTCATTTTTTCATGAAATGTTTTATGTTAGGGGTTCCAGAATTTTGTGCTCTTGAAAGACTCTTGATTTTCTCAGTGACTGCTTGGGAACCCAGTTCTTGAAGCAATCCCAATTTCCTTCACATTCTTGTTGGAAGGTTGTATAAAAGTAATCCTGGAATTCAAAAATGCCTTGGTCTGCTCAGTCTGTGGAGTTCTTAAACTCCCTTTTCTTTTTTTTTAATCCCCCCCACTCTCTTCTCAATAAAAATACTCCATAATACCCTAACAGGGTATTACTTAGAAATTGCTTTCTCATAAACTCTCTTTGACCTACAAAATTTCTATCTGTAAAGACAGATTAGTCTTCACACCCATTAATCAGGTCTTGGGCAGAGATGAAGTGGATGCTTTGGAAGGTTCAGGGTCAGTGTTCAATTCACCAATAGAGACTGCCTCTCTTGATTTTAAGACTCATTAAGGGGCAGAGAGAAGGACATGGCTTTCTAGTGCTAGGCCAGGCATTACCACTATAGGACCAATAACCTCTCTAATCTCTGTTTTCCCATCAGTGAAATGGGATATTTAGGAGAATGAAACATACCGCTGTAAGTAAAACTCTATGATAAAGCTAGGCATGGCTACTAAACCAGTCCCCTCCTGCCTTCTTCTCTGAACTCAAAAAGCAACGGCATCTTTTAAAGCACTTTTTCCCTATGATCACTTTTGCAAGAGGGAATACCATGTGTCTCAGAATCCCCTCTTCGCTAAGCACACACCCAAGGAAAGAGGACAATGGGAAGCTTCTTGGAGTTGTTGTTCTCCTTACTACATACCAGCATTAGGAAAAGGCCTGCCCAGGACAGAGCGAAGACTGCTGGAAAACAAGTCCCAGAACCCATCAGGACTCGGGGCTGGTCTTAAATCCTGCTTTAGTCCAGGACAAGTGTTTGTAACCAAGAGTGATATGAGATTGTTTCATGGACACAATTTTTTCCTACCTGTTTACATGTGGACTCAGTGTACTGGCCAGAATTTGCCTTGCCTACTATTCTCCCTGGTCTGAGTGGGAAGAGAAAAGGGGAAAGAGAGACCGTGGACTCATGACAATGTCCTTGATGTGGATAACAAGCCCTAAATTATTATTTTGTATTCTGTGGCTATGCTTCTTTTTAGAATGAATTAGAAATGTTTCAGTGGAAAGAGCTTCATTAAAAAATGCTTTAAAAGTAATAAAATACTTATGGAACTCTATTTGCCAGTGACAGTCTATTAGATGCATTTATTTGTTTATTCTTCCTGACCATCCTATGAGGTAGTTACCATGATTATCCTTATTTTATAACAGGTACATGAAACACAAAGAGATGACCCGGAATCCTTTATTTGGTAGAGGGCTGGGCTTTGAACTGATGCAGTTCTATTTCTATGTTCTATTTAGTGGTTTTCAACTGGAGGCTATTTTGGAGACACTACATGATGTTTGGGAATATTTTTGTTGTCATGACTGTTGACATCTAGTGAATAGAGGTTAGGAATGCTGAGAAACATCCCACAATGCACAGAGGATTGTCTGGTTCAAAATGTTGACAGTACCAGGATGGAGAAACCCTGATTTAATCATGCACCATTCTGCCCACAGGCTTAATGGTTTCCTCTTGAAACCAAGCCTTTTTCTCAAGCCAGGTGTGTTGTTAAAGATTACTTACCATTCTCAATCCAGCCAGGTATGTACATGGCTCCATTCTGCTGGGGTATCGCTCTCCCTCTGGCTGCATTAATTCCTCCAAGAGCCCATACTTTGACACTGTATCTACCATTTGTATCATAAGCTGTAAAATACCTTGAGTAAACACCGTCATCCTTAGTAGCATCAGCACCTTGATAGAGAAATGATAAGAAATGAATGAATATCTTAAAAGTAACAGAGCAATTGTATATTTCCAACTAATAAGTGAGTTAGGTATTTTCAAAGCAAAGAAAAATTGAGCATTATTTCCAAGAAACCTTAAGATGTGAGTGCAAGGATGAAGCCTACTTCTTTTACCTTATGTGTGTGTATGTGTGTGTGTGTGTGTGTGTGTGTGTGTGTGTGTGTGTGTGTGTGTAGTGTTATGTGGACAGCTTGTCTTCTTGAATCGTTGTCTTTCTTTTTGAAGTCTGAGATCATGTTCTGTCTCTGTTACACCCGACATAGTACTAAGTAACTACTCAATAAGTATCTGTTGAACTGAATTGAATTGTTGATGTGACTGGGAGAAAACATGTTGTATGCTTGTTTAATAACATTTATGAGTTCTACCAGAGTAGATTTACATAGCAAGTAGATTGCCTGAGCCTGTGGATTCAAGACCAGCCCAGGCAACTTGGCGAGACCTTGTCTCTACAATAAAATAAAAAATTAGCCAGGCGTGGTATCACGTGCCTGTAGTTCTGGCTACTTGGAAGGCTGAGGCAGAAGGATTGTTGGAGCCCAGCAGGTCGACGCTGGGGTGGCCATGAGCATGCCACTGCACTACAGCCAGGGTGACAGAATGAGACTCCAACTCAAAAAAAGAAAATTCATTTACAAAATTCATTCTAATAAAATTACTTGCATCACAGTAAGCAGATATGTTTTATTCTAAGAAGGAAAGGAATACTCTTTCTCTCCCTGGTATATTTCTTAAATTCAAGAATAATTGGCAGAATTTTCATTTTGGGGGCAAGTTAACGAGTCTGCATAGATAGAGAGAACTGTGCTTGAATCCACCTCTGCTGCTTTCTAAATATGGAAGCCTCAGGTTCTTTACCTGTAACTGTGTTATATGTAGGGATAATAATATTTCAAAAGTGTGTGAAGATAAAAACAAAGATATATATGTCTTTGTATATATATCTTTGTGTGTGTATATTCACACACACAAATTCTCTCTCTACCTATCTATCTATCCATCCACACACATAAAGCACCTAACACAAAATAGCTATTCATTTTCTTCTTCTTTTTTAGGGAGCGTGGAATATCTTCTGACAACTCTCTGGAGACCCTAAGCTTTGGAGCTTGATCCACTAATGTGTTGTGGGCTTTGCAGAAGCCCTCCTTATGTCTCCCAGCATTTTGAAATATAGGAATTGTAGGGAAATGAAGAACTCTCCCAACCAGACACCCAGTGCTGGACTCCCTGCATCTAACCACCCTCACCACAGCATGCCCTCATACCAATCCCTAGTTATTTCTTAGAAAAAGACATTTTCCCCCCAATTTCTCAGGTGATTACCTGCTCCATTGTCCAGTAACTCCAAGGTAACTGTTTTTCCATTCACTGATTCAATCAAGGCTGTGACACTGGCCCTGAGAATTGGTGAGGCTCCTTGACGAATATTTGCATAAACTGTCATGGGGCTAGGGAATTTGCCTGTGTCCTTGTTCATTTTGGAAGTCACTGTAATTGGAGGTAGGGTCGCACTGGATGCACGGGAGGTGACAGTCAGGGTCAAGGTTTGTGAGCTTGCTTGCAGACTATAAGTCCAAGTGCCAACCTGACCAAAGCAAATGCAGACATTTCTAATTAATAACTGTAGGTAACACATACCTGACCTCAATGTCACATATAGGAAGAGCCTCTGATACAAGCATGTGGTAAGCATGTCTAAGAAGAGGTGGGATTTTCTGAAACTCTGTCAACCAAGGGGAACTTCAATGTGTTTGGACTAACTATATGGTTCATGAACTACTGCTCCCGGCCATGCCTTGGCTTTTCAAGAGATGAGTTTCTGAGGTGGAGGAAATAGTTTTTATGATCCTGACTGCTATGTAATTTGAAGGTTCTCCCTTTAGGACCTGGAAAAATATTACGTATTTTCCTTCTTTTTATTTGCTGGAATATTGAGTGACTCTCATTGGGGGGCGATTTTTTCCTTGTTCTCTCTTTAATTCAACACTGTCTTTCCTTTAGCAACCTCGAAAGCCACAATCATTTTGTAAAATCTTTATTTTATCATAAGAAGGAAATTATGAGAAGGAAAAAAGCTGAGCCCATACCTTGGCAGTGCCCGGGATTTGGAGGTAGGCTATTTTGGTGCCTGTGTCCACAACAAAGCCATCTTGTTTCTTTCCACTGGGATCCCAGAGAAAGATCTGGGGAGGCTGTGTCGTCCAGGTGACAAGAAACAAAGTGTCGTTTCCCACTGTGCTGTCCACAATCACCGTACCATTCATCCACTGATCTTTCTGGAGAGTTAATCCCTTGCTTTCAAGCTGTTAAGAAAAACAACTCTTTACTTTCTGGAGAATACAGCTTCCATCATGTGACCTTTCTCCTTCTGCCCTGACTTCCAAGTGCTCCATTAAAAAACCTTCGGGGATGCCTGAGACCTCGATTTGGTGCTAGGACCTAGTATGATCCAATTCTAAATTACCTTTCCCGGCTGAGCTTCTGCAGTTTTCCTTTCTCCACTCAAACAAGACCGCTTCCCCCAGACAATCTTAGGGTTCGAGACCCGCCTGGGCAGCGAGACCTCATCTCTACAATAAATCTAAAAATCAGCCGGGCGTGGTAGCGCGTGCGTGTAATTCCGGCTACTTGGAAGGCTGAGGCGAAAGGATCGCAGGAGCCCAGCAGGTTGAGGCTGCGGTGGCCGGGAGCGGCCACTGCGCTCCAGTCTGGGCGACTGAGTGAGACTCTGACTCAAAAAAAAACAAACACAAAAAGGAATCCTTGACTCTGACTTTATCACACCCTTCACTTTTCTTAGAAGGCTGTATATTTATCTTCTCCATGTGTCTAAGCTTTCTCAGTCCTCACCATTTATCTAAGCCTTACTTATGCTTCAAAATTCAGTTCAAATATTGCTTTCTCCATGACACTTTCTCTGATGTCCATCTCACTTACCAGTTGCCAATAACCTCTCCTTCCTCTGAACTCCCATAGGATTTTGTTTCTATCAGTCCTTGGACATTCATCACCTTGTGCTTTACCTGATACTTATTGGTGTATACAGCTCCTCTTACCTACTAGACTATACACCCTTAAGGGGACTGCCTGTGACTTATGTTTTGCGTACATGTGGATGGTTTGAGTTGCCAGGTCAAGTATTGTTGCAGTTCCCATGAAGACAAGTGAAACAAGCTGAGGCTGATGTGTTGTAGGTAGAAGAATGAAGGCACTGCTGCACAGGGATTGAGGTGGAGGAGGATTAACAAGGCCTTTGTAGAGAATGTGACTCTGAGGATTATCTCCTAGGTAGCCATTAATTGCTTAAAAGTTGGCATCTGTCAGAAGACGGACCGGTCTAGGCGTGGAGCCAGATTTCCACGGGTAGATACAATTTTGGTTGTGGAGAAAGCCAACGGCTCTCAGATCTGGTTCCTGCAGCAGTTGATAAACGAGTCCTGTTCATTCTCCATCTCTCTCCCTGGGACATTTCTCAAATACAAAAATAATGGACACACATGTCCTAACTGTGAACTTGTCCTTTTGTCTGTTTGATGACTTTTCTAAGATACATTCCTCTCTTTTCCAAACCAGGCCCTTGAGTTTAATTTTCTAAATCTGAACTGTAATAACCCAGATGGGTATAACTACTGTCTTCTTAGACTGAATAAATGCTACCTCAGTAGACCAGAAGCCTATTGTTTTGAAGTCTGTCATTATTAGACTTTGACACGACAGTACTCCTTGACCTTTACCCAGACTTTCATAATGAAAGTCCAATTCACACTGGCATGGATGTTCATCATTCACTCTCTCTAGTTTAAAAATGAGTGCAATTTCTGCAACTACTGGAAAAAAGCGTTTAAAAATACCTTTGTCCTTTTAAAAATAGTCCCAAGACTTGTGAAAGGTAATTTGGTTTGCTTGAAATTTTAGAGTCAGATAGGTCCATGGAAGTTTCCTGTCTCATTCAGGGTGAAGAAACAGAGGCCCAGAGACATCACAGAGTTAATGGCAGACCCAGGACTAAGATCCAGTTGTCTGGACTGACACAACTGACTTTTCACAGTACAAAGCACTTTCTATTCATTATATGAAAATCCTGGCAAATATCAGGGACTTGATGTAATGGAAAAACAGAGCAAGTAATCTCTGAACACCTGTCCCAGGAAATTACGATTGAGGTGATCTACTCTGAAGATACTTCTGAGCCAAATATATTGCTGTGGATGCTTTTTAACAGATGTTAAAAAATAATTCTTGGACCCACTATATTTTCTGTTACTGGTTTCTATGAGGAAGTCACTTAATATTGTTTTCAAATAAGTAAGCACTAATTGCCTTGTTTAAATGAGTGGTGTGGCGTTTTAGGAATCATATCTAATATCAGGCTGAAACTGCAATTTTAGTTTTAATTCACTACTAGAATAATGTAAAACTTAAAACATTTAACCAATTAATTCTCCATTATGGCTATGAGTATGTGCAAGTACAAAAAAACCAAAGGGTAAGAATCCCAACCTGGATGGAGCGCTGAGAGAGAGCACCATTTCCTGATGAAAGGGCCCCGAAGGCATCAATAAGCCCGTTGTTCTGAACTTGATCTGAAGCATATGTCTGTAAACCTCCTAAAATGCAATGACATCAGAAGTTATTTTCCAGAAAGCAAGTACTTGCAACATTTTAGTTGTTGTTAAGAGAATATACATATTACATTGTGCTATTAAAGTATACCTAGATCAACATCAAATAGATGCCTAGATTAACTCAGAAGTTGATACTAATTTTTTTTTTTTTTTGAGTCAGAACCTTACTTTTCCACCCAGGCTGGAGTGGAGTGTCACAGTTCCAGCCACTGCAGCCTCGACCTGCTGGGCTCAAGTGATCCTTCTGTCCCAGTCTTCCAGAAGCTGGGACTACAGACACGCACCACCATACCCAGTTAATTTTTTATTTTTTATTGTAGAGATGAGGTCTTGCCAAGTTGCCCCAGCTGGTTTTGAACCTCTTGGCTCAGGCAATCCTCTTGCCTCCGCCTCCCAAATTGCTGGGATTACAGGCATAAACCACTGCACCTGGCATACTAATTTTTTAATCCTAGAAAATAACAGCTCCAGTAACATCTCAGTCATCTGGCTACTTCAATTATCTGTAAAGCAGCCATGAATCTCTGATGGGCCAACATTAATTTTGCAATATCTACATTTTATATTTTTTCACTTTTATTTATTTACTTTCCTTTAGTTTAAATCTTTGAAGGGTACAGCATCACATGGATTCTGTGCCCAATGGCCTTATCAGGAAGGTTGCTTCGGAATTTTTCAAGAACCGTGCCATAATTTCCATGGACTTGAGTTACCTTTTCCCAGATGACTCTGGTTTTGTGTGATTTGCCTCCAGAAATCACCATGTTGTTCTTTATTTTGTATACATAAGCACATCTCTTGCTCAAATAGAATTCAGTTTCATCTCAGACATAAACACCTTCAATTTTGAGAAGAGTTGTGTGTTCTCTTTGGTTCCGGATAGCCTGCTTATAGTCTGCAAACAAGGCTTTGGAACACAGACATATCTGCTTTTTATCTATCTATCTATCTATCTATCTATCTATCTATCTATCTATCTATCTATCTATCTATCGAGTTGGAGTCTCACTCTGTCACCCAGGCTGGAGTGCAGGGGCACACTCACGGCCACCTCAGCCTTGATCTGCTGAGCTCAGGTGATCCTTCCGCCTCAGCCTTTCAAGTAGCTGGAACCATAGGCATGTGCCACCGTACCCAGCTGATTTTTTGATTTATTGTAGAGATGAGGTCTCGCCATCTTGCCCAGACTGGTCTCAAACCCATGGACTCAGGCAATCCTCTCGCCTTCACCTCCCAAAGTGCTGGGATTACAGGCTTGAGCCACCGTGCCCGGACATTTTATTTTTTTCTAAATGGGAAATGGGTTCAGTAAGGCAGTTGATACCCCACTCACATCCTCTTATCCAGGCAGCTTCATCTTTCCCAAGCTGGTCCAAGTGCTGCCTGCTCATGGCCTTAGCTGCCTCCTCTCCCAGAGAATTATCTTATGAAAAAGGGCTGCCCTTCCTAGAGAAATAACACGCCCTTGACCTCTGCCCTGCTCTGACAGTCCACAGCCAATGACTGATGGGGACAGTGTTGCAAATGGCCAGCCCTCCTGCCTCAAGGTGTGTCCAAGTCAGTGATGCAATTCCTTCTCCAGAACCCCCTGTGGGCTCAGCTACTCAGGCCACATCTGCACTTAGCTACTTCCCTTACCCTGTCCTGTCCTTCCCTCCGTCCTTTTCTCCTGAGAGCGCTCCCTCTGTAAATCACATGTACCCAAATCCCTGACACAGGCTCTGCTTTTCTAGGAAACCCAGCCTAGGACAGGTAGCGCTAGGATCCAGCAGTTCTGCCATTTCAGTGGCCTCAGAAGGCAACTCAGTACAATAATTGATAGACATAGCATTATTCCTCAGTGAAAAAAGAAAACAGTGTCCACTTACTCTGCTAAAGAAGCCAGGGCCATGTGAACCATATGTCTGCGTAGGGGAATTGGATGCACAGTGCATTTATGTTTTATGGAGAAACTGCCTTGCAATCCGTCTCTGGAGTGACCTTCTGAATTGTTCACCAGGCCCCTTGCCCTATCCCTATGACCCTTGAACATTTTTTCCTCAGGAACAGTTAAAGCCTTCCTTCTTTGCGTCTCACTGTACTTTCCACTGCTAATATGACACTCGTGTCATGGTATTATGTAGTTAGTGGCTTGTCATTGTTTCCCTGGGTCTCTTGGCTAGCTGCCAACTGGAAGTGTGTAGTTCCTGATAACTGATTAGATGAATATTCTTTATAAGGTGCCTGGGACGAGGGCTCTGAATCCTCACTAGTGGGCTGTGGTGGTTCTCACTTCTCCAAACCCCCACCCTGCATTCAAAGTCTTAAAATATATGGGTAGAGTCCGTTCTAATGGCCATTTGGAGATGACAGGAGCTATTTGGTCAAGTATATTTTCCCCATCTGTCCCTGTCCTCCCTTTCTCCCACTCCCCAGTTCACTGGAGCTCACAGTCCAGTGGGAGAGACAGAACATGGGAGCTCCCGGATCAGCCCTCACCCGTCATTTTGGACAGCTCCTCCAATTCTTGAGCTGCAGAGGGCCCCAGGGCAACTGTGTGGATGATGGCTCCGCTCTGTTTCACTTCATTAAAGCACCTGCTTATAGTGGAGTCCTCCCCATCGGTCAGCAGCACAATCTCAGCTCCATCGGTTGGGTATTTCTTTCTAATCACCTAAGGACATAATTCAGGGCACGTGTTATCAGGGTCAAGATGGCCAAGGTGCTTGTGTGAAAACTGTACTTACAGAGAAGGAGAGGAGACATTCCAGAGGGAATAAACAAAAGTGTCTGGGAATGGTCAAATATCTTGAAATGGTACGGTCTTAACCCACAAGGATTCATGGAACTTGACCATCATTTTTTCTCCTGGCTGGCCTGCTGCAGAGTGAGATGAGGTGGGATGCCAGTCAGCTCTAGGGACAGGCCGCACTGGGGAAGCAGCAAAGACAGTTTTTCTAGTTTCCTTCACATGATCTCCCCTTGACAGGTGTTCAGAGCCTCCAAGATGCCTTCAGAAACCATCCTCATTAAATGGAGATTGTATTGGGGGGATATTAGACCCAGGGTAGATTTTTACTTATATGATATTCACCAGTCTGACAATTCCAGCTGTTTATGGCTGGCATTAGTTCTGATTGCCCATTAACCAGGTCACATGAGTTGCTAGCATTTTTAACAGCCCTTCTGGTTAAGGCAAAACATTTTGTTTCTATTAATCCCAGTTCCTAGTTGTTCTGTGACACCTGTGTCTCGGTTATTCCTGGTAGACTCAGATTAAATACATTTTTACGTAGTGTAGAGAAGATACTTCTTCTGCCATTGTTGAATAAGATTATTTTGGGAGGAAAATTAGATAAAAGAGTAGTGTTATCAATTTAGAAGAGAAAACAGGAATCTACTCTTCCCCCCAAAAAAGAGTGGAAGAAGAGACCCAGAAGTTGGAGAAACAAGCCGTTAAGCCTGCGTAACCTTCCATCTCTGGAAGAGCATCTCAGGGAAGGTATCTTAAGGGTAAACGGAAAGCCGAGGACAGAGGAGGCTTCCACCCCACTTCCTGCTTCAGCTCTGAAAGGAGGTTGCCACCTAAGTAGCCTTTGTGGACATGGGATGAGAGCAGAACCGTGACTGTCGGTGGTGTTGTGTCAAGGAGCCCAGAGCCCAGCAGCCTGACAGCTATGGTCTTCGCCTTGGTTTGACACAGCTGCTGGACTGGAGATGCCCAATTTGGATTCCCTCGTCTCACTCCCCATAAGCGCTGTGTGCCATGAAACAAAAGCAGAAATTCCTATATACCCCATTGGGGAGACAGAAGGCAGCTGAGTTGAGAGTTGGCAGGTGAGAGAAACAGGCAATCCTACCACAGAGGCTGAGGCTGTTGGGAGGCTGGATGGAGGACGTGGGGTGCTTCAGGGCTCTGCTCCAAGTGAGAGCCAGGGTGGAGCTGAGTCAGTCAGGGAGGACCACTGGGCCCTGTTCAAGCCAAGAGAACAAGCTGAAGTCCCGTGGCCGCAGCAGTCACCACTGCGAGGAGGCCAGGAAAGACCTGATGAGGGTCCTGCAACAGGTACCAGCAGGGTCTGGAGGAGAGTGTTGGATCCAAGGTCTTTTGCCTCATCACCCTGAAGTCACACAAGCTCCTCCCACCCCACACCCAGACTCCATTGGGGAGGAGGGGCATCCTACATTCCAACATATAGCTCATTCTCTTGCCCATCTGAATGGGAAACAAAGAAACAGAAGGTCTCTCTTCACCACCATGCCACCTGGCATTAGCCATTTCCCCCAGGGGTTTTGCATAGCAGCAGTTTGGTACAGCACATTAGAGAGTTCATTGTCAGTTTCCCTCTCTCTCGTTTGGGTCTTTAATCAAAGCTTGGGTGGGTCGCTGAGGCCACAGAACCCAGTTGCAAATAAATGTCTGGAGAAGGGTTTTGCAGCTAACGGTCCATGCAAATAGAAACCACTTTTAGGAAACTGACCTTCGAGAAGAAATAATAGGGTCAGAGGGACAGACAGCATTTGAGGAAATGGTCAGACTCAGTGACCACATCAAACTGAGCTGGAAACTACATGTTCCTGCTGCCACTTGGGAAACTGAAACAGCTCCACTGATATGTGGTGTGCCCAATAAGCAGGCTGAGTACAGACTTATCCAAGACACTGTGAAGTTCTGAGATCCTAGGCCAGCCAGTTCCTCAATCTCCTAGTAGAAATGACCTAAGCTGGGCAGAGTGGCTCAGACCTGGAATCCCAGCACTTTGGGAGGCAGAGTCGAGAGGATTGCCTGAAGTCAGAGGTGTGAGACCAGCCTGGGCAACTTGGCGAAACCTCGTCTCTATAATAAATCAAAAAATTAGCCCGGTGTGGTGGTGCATACCTGTAGTTCCAACTACTTGGAAAGCTAAGGTAGAAGGATTGCCTGAGCTGAGCAGGTCGAGGTTGCAGTGGCCATGAGTGTGCTACTGCACTCCAACATGGGCAACAGAGTGAGACTTCGACTCAAAAAAAAAAAAAAAAAGAAAAAGAAAGAAAGAAAAAAGAAAAAGAAACAACCTAAAAGCTAGAATATTACATTCTATATTTGGTATTTGGACCAACTAAAGTCAGGTATTATTAGTGTCTCAATGAACTCAATTCAATTTTATTTACTAAGAAGTTCCTGCAGAAATGGTATTAATATATTGTACCAGCAGCCTGGGAGGTAAGAAGACAAGTCCTATCCCTAAAGAAATTTTTCTTAGCTGGGCTTGGTGGCTCATCCTGTAATCCCACGCTTTGGGAAGCTGAGGTGAGTGAATGACCTGAGCCCGCGGGTTCGAGACCCACCTGGGTAACTTGGCGAGATCTCATCTCTACAATAAATCAAAAACTAGCCGGGCGTGGTAGTGCACGCCTGTAGTTCCAGCTACTTGGAAGGCTGAGGCGGAAGGATTACCAGAGCCCAGCAGGTCAAGGCTGTGGTGGCCAGGAGCGGCCACTGCACTCCAGTCTGGGCGACAGAGTGAGACTCCAACTCAAAAAAAAAAAAAAAATTTTTTTTCTTAATTGAAACAATGGTTAGAAAAGACAGAAGATCCTAGAAGTGATGAGATAGTTTTTTGTTTGTTTCAAAATGTCACAGAATTCATAGAGCTTTTACTCAGTTGTGAGGATAAGGGAAGCTCTCAAGAGGTATCTACCTCTTGATGTCTGTGATGGGACTTTGAACAGTAAATGTGACTTGAGATGCCAAGAAGGGAGGAGTTAGCGCTCTTGGTGAGGACTTAGCCTGGTAAAGGTGTGGAAGCTCTGAAGGACAGGTCATCCAGTTTGCTTAAACACAGGATACCTGGTAATGTTCCTGGTGCTTAAGCCTGGAAAGGCAGGTAGGGGCTGTAGCATGATCCATCTCAAATATTAGATAGAGGAATTTTTACTCAATTTTGTTGAAAATAAGGAGACATATTACCTAAGCAGACAGATGTTGTGATTGAGTGGTCAGATAAGATCTTTAGATATGACCCCAATTCAATCATAGTTATAGTTCCTATGACTTCCTGTTTCAATAAATAAGCCATTTGTTTTCTTAAAGGAAGCTCAGTATACCCAGAAGTTTGGAGTGTTCAACTGCCTTAGTTCGTAACCGTGTGGATCCTTTTATCCCCCACAGAAGATACTCTATTATATTCTTAGGCACCTTTTTTTCATAGTACTCGTTACAGTTTATGAATATACACTTATTTGTGTCATTATGTGGTTAATGTATCTATCTCCTCTAATAAGATTCTAAGCTTCATGGCAGGAGGTGTGTGTCTGTTTGGCCCTCTGGTACTTTTAGTGCCTAGCAGAGGTCTTGACTTGTAGAAGGCACACCATGAGCATTTTGAATGCAGGCCTGCTTGCAGAAAAGCACAAAAGCACGAATGAATTGGTTAACAGCTTTGGAGGCCTGCATCTTTGCATCACTTGAACCACGGCTCTACCATTGGTTATCTCATTCAGTTAGACAGTAGGCGTATATGGGAACACTGGAAATGAAATTTCTTAGGGAGCATCAATTGCAAACATTGGCAAACACAGTAGAACAATACATCTTACCGTAAATGCCGACTTAAGCCCGGAGCAGATGGACGTTCCTCCTGCGGCTGCTGTGGGTAACTTTTTGGTGAGTGTGTCCCTGTCAGTGCCACTGTTTATCTGTATGAGTTCACTTTGTACATGGGCAGCACTGTCGAATAAGACCATTCCAACCCAGGACCCCTGCTCAATCGTCTGCAGCAGGAAAAGTTTGCCTGCTTGGTTCAGTCGTTTAAGGCGGTCCCCATTCTAAATGGAGAAGCAAAAGAAAAAAGAGTCAGGTTAGGTTTAGATGAACAGGCATACCAGAACAGGTTAGAAGAAATTTGGAAGTGGCTGCCTCAATGTAGAGGAAATGACAACAAACTGACTTTGGGTAGAAAACATCTTTGGCAGTCGGGCATGGTGGCTCACGCCTGTAATCCCAGCACTTTGGGAGGCAGAGGCGAGAGGATTGCCTGAGGCCAGGGTTCCAAGACCAGCCTGGGCAACATGATGAGATCTCGTCTCTGCAATAAACCAAAAAATTAGCATGGCATGGTAGCACGCACCTGTAGTTCCAGCTAATTGGAAGACTGAAGTGAAAGGATCACCTGAGTCCAGCAGGTCGAGGCTGTGGTAGCCTCAATTGTGTCACTGCACTCTAGCCTGGGTGACAGAGTGAGACTCTGGGTAGAATTTTAGGGCTTTTATATAAACAGTAAAAGATAAAATCAGATTATATAATCATTAACATTCAATGATTTAGTAATAGTTCTAGATATGTTTATAAGACTGTAGACCTATAAAGTCTCATATACTGTCAGTGAAACATATAAGATGTTAAGATTATGTGATTCATCAGATCTTTGCTCATAAATTGAAAAGTGATTTAATTTGGCAAATGAGACAGTTTATGTGGACTCTGATGAATAGAGTTGAGACGGGTATTTCTGAAGGCGATATTAGCTGTTCTGTTGTAGCTGTTCTGTTGTAGCTGTTCTGACCCTTTGGGAGGATTTATTCCCAACCAGTTCCAAGTTGTTATCTAGATCCTATCATGTGCTTGTCCATAACCAGTCTCTAGAAGACCAAGGCTCATTGAACATACCGTCATGCTTCCAGACTTATCGAGGACTAAGCACACAATTCTCTGTCCAATCTGCAGCAATGAGAAGGTGGGCTTCGGTGGCTGGGTTGTCATAGGAGTGGTTTTCTTAAAATCCTCAGAATCACGGATTACTTCCCATGTGCTTTGGAGATTGCATCTTTGGTTTTGGAGGTTTGGGGCTTCTTTGTTGTGGTTTTGCTCTGTACAGAATTCAACCACCTGAAATTGTTGATGAAAATGATATCGATAACATTAAACTACCTGTGAAAATCTTTAATAATTTGATTGAAATATTTAAAATTCAAATTTAAAGTATTTTAATCCTCTGTCCCTCTCTCCAGTCTGCTCTGCTAATATATAACCTTGGCTCAATCCCGCAATCACTGCTGGGGAAAATCACAGAGTCATAATTCAGACTCCCTACCTCAAATCATGTTCCCAGCCTCATTGGACCTTTCATGATCCTCAGCAATCCATTTACCTGCTCTAAGTGGATTCCTTCCTACTCCTCAAATTTACCATTTCAAACCATTACTACTCAATTCAAGTCTCGTTAGCAATTTGCTCCTGGTATCATCGAACCTCTCCATCCTTACAGCCCCAAACTCCACTTCCTTTCTTCCCGCTCTCCTACCAAAACACCACATTCCAACCTTCAATGCCCAGCATTCCGGGTTTCTCCAAAATCCACAAAAGCCGGATTTCCCACCGGCTCCTCAAACTCCACGTGTTCATCATTGACTTCATGTCACCTTTCTCCAGTCTGCTCCACCTCCTCATGTCTTTCCTAACTTGATGTCATCAGTATGTATCCAGTCACCCAAATCAGGAAACTAGAAGTCTTCCCACCTTCTTCCCCTTAAAAAAATCACCAAGATCAATACATTTCACTGTCTCTCCAGTTCACCATCTTTTCTCCACTGCCCATGGAGTCTCCATCATCCAAGCTGTCACGGTCCTGCCTTCGGACTATTGCAGTCTCCATCTGACTTTTCCCTCTTGTTTCCCCTCCACTTGGTCCACCTCACAGCAGCCTGAGAGGTCTTCCCTCTTACTCCTCTACTTAAGACCCTTGTTGGTTCACAATGGTTCAACAGCCACAATCTCGACTCCTTCCCATAGCAAACAGCAATCTCTCTGATTTAGATTTTGCTCCACTTTTCATCCTCATTCTGGCTGTGAATGTTTCTAACTCCCCCCGCTGTAGCCTCTAAGTTCCCCAACATGCCAGACTTTTACATCTCTATGCCTTTGCCCATGATACCCACTTGGTCAAGAAGTTCTACTTCTGTGTTCTGTGTTGTAAATGCTACCTTCATGTTTCAGCCAAAAAGTCACTTCTAAAATGTTTTCTCATTTTCTACTCTTCTCCAAAAGAATTTTCAGTTGACCTTTTGTGGCCTCATTGTACCCTGTAGCAACTTCAGTAAGGCCCCTTTAACCTTGTAATGCACTTATTGGGCTGTAAATCTAAATCCTGTCTTTTTAAATATTGCTGCCTCAAGATTTAGCCCATTGTCTGACACATAATAAAAACTCAATATATGTTTGTTGTTTTTTGAATAACCTTAACCTCTTTGCAGCTCAGTTTTCTAATATACAAAATGGTGATAGTTACTATGTATATATACGCAGAATATACGCAGTAGGGTTAATGCTAACACAGACAATAAACCATAGTACCCTTTCCTTTCTTATATTTTATAACACTTGCTAGTGTTTATATCCCTGGCATTTGGGAGATTTCTTAAAAGGCATATATACAAAGAAGAAATACAAAATCCTCTCCGTGACTTTCCATTATTGTTATTCAGGTAAAATTCCTAAATATCTGAGATTATAGTAATTTAGCAAGTAATCATTCGTTACACAACACTTATTTTTCTCTTTATTTGCATTTTTCAAGTCAACTGTTTTGGTAGTGTTTCCATATTATTGGTATGGATACTTTTAAGAAAAGAAACCTAAAAAACTTGTGGAAACCAAAGGCAGAGGTTTCCAAACCTGGCCATGTATCCAATTTAACTTTGTGGTTAATTTAAAATATGTAATCTGGATCCCCTCCTGGAGGTTTCTGAATAGGTCTGGGACTGGACTGCAAAGCCAGATTCAAGGATGATGGCCCTGGTGAAGCATGGTGCCACTAATTTTTTAAAACTTATCCCATAAGAGTATTGACAGACTCTTGCAAGTCATTTCACCCTCCCTTACAAAAGGAAAACATAATTTTATGTTAGAAGCTGGACGATAAGAGGGACTCTTCACTAAAGTCAGTTAACTGATGACTTTAATCTTGTTTTGTGTAAATTTGCTGTTCTATATATTTGGCATTAGTATGGATAACTGGTGAAATTCACTTTATGACCAGTTGGTCATTTTACAAAAATGTTCTCCTTGCTTGTAGAGAAAACTTTTTAAAGCTATTAAAACTATATACAAACTCCTTAAGGTAACCCACATTCTTTAAAAGAAAAAAATTACAGTTAAAAACCAAAAACAAATACATAGGCTGAAAAAGAACTCTCTGAGGCTGGGCATGGTGGTTCATGCCTGTAATCTCAGCACTTTGGGAAGTGGAAGTGCCTGAGTCCATGGGTTTAAGACCAACCTCAGCAACTTGGTGAGACCTCGTCTCTACAATGAATCAGAAAATTAGCTGGGCATGGTGGCACGTGTCTGTAGTTCCAGTTACTTGCAAGGCTGAGGCTGAAGAATCTCCTGACTACAGCATGTCGAGGCCGCAACGGCTGTGAGTGTGCCACTGCACTCCAGCCTGGGTGACAGAGTGAGACTCTAATGCAAAAATAAATAAATAAATAAAACAAAAGAAAGAAAAGAAAAGAACTCTCAGGAGAGATCTTTTCTTTTCAATCAAGAGCTATCGATCATGTCCTTACTAACTAATAGAAAGAATTGTCTAATCTAAGTAAATTTCTTACTTAGGCAAGAATTTTTGTACTGGTATGTCTTTAAGTATATTTGAAGTAATTCTAAGCACTTAAACTAAAAACTAATGGGAGGGACACTTGACTGTCCCATAGTCTCCTGAAACTCCATATGGGAGTCTGAGGATGGAGAGGAAAGAATGGATATGAGGATGGTAAAGAGAAAATAGGACTTTCTCTGATTTTGTTCTCTTCTCTTATAGAGAATCGGCTGCTCACTGATCGTTTTCCTTAAAATTTGATTTTTCCTTGAAGCACCTTGAGCAAAAGTCTCACTAAATTCTTAAAAGTCTAGGAAAATAATAAAAAAAAAAGAACAAGGTACTTACAGAGTCAATACGTTGTGCAAACATTATGGAAGCCTTCGTAGTCTGCTGGCCTTGGGGTATGAACTCACAATCCTCTTCGAAGAGTCCTGTTAATTTATTGGGTCTGCACGGTTTGGTGAGACAGCTGCCTCCCTGACACTTAGTTACTACATTTTTACCAACAATATCTGCAGAACATCTGAAAATATATGAAAGTTGGATGTTCAGGTGATGTCTTCATTTCAAAGGGTCAGACTCTGTGCTCAGTTTCTGACAGGTTGCCTTTCTATGGCTTCCTTTCGGCCCAAGAAACAAGTACATTTCCTGACATAATATAATTATTAAATTGTCCTCAGGGTTATTTCTGTCTGCCAGAAAGTATCAGAGGGGCTTCCAAAATTGTATCAGAATCTATTTCTATGTAGCGGAAGCCAAGGTGTGGTGGCTCATGTCTGTAATCCCAGCACCTTGGGAGACAGAGACAAGAAGATTGCCTGAGCCCAGGGGTTCAAGGCCAACCTGGGCAACCTTGGCAAGACCTCGTCTTTACAAGTTGAAAAATTAGCTGGGCGCAGTGGCATGCACCTGTTGTTCCAGCTACTTGGGAGGCTGAGGAGGAAGAATTGCCTGAGTACAGCAGGTGAAGGCTGCGGTAGCTGTGAGCTTGCCACTGCACTCCAACCTGGGCAACAGAATGAGACTCTGACTCAAAAAATAAATAAATAAATACTGAATTTATTTCTATGCAGTACAAAAGCCAAGCTTGCCTTAATGGCTGCTGTCACTATCTACAAGAATCAAAGACCTTAGGCACCCCCTAATCGATTCCACCTCATTCCTGGAAACTCAGGACACTTCTGTTTCCCCCACAAGATTTACTGACATTTCCTGTTTGTTTTTCTAATCAGTTGATTTCATACAGCTTTTGTATAGTTCTTGTATGTTCATGGGTAAATAAATATTGCTATATATTCTGTACTGACAAGTTTTACTGATATTGCAGATAGAATGCTTTTCCTCTACATCTTATTTACTTGTTTTCTTACATGTATAAACTTAAGAAACTTAAATTTGGAAAAAAGCAAAAAGAATAAAGAAGAATAGAAGAAAATCATGTCTCAGCATCAGAAATGAACTACTGTTAACTTGTTGAGGCATTTCCTTCACATTCTATGTATCAGCATAACATTGCATATATAGCTTTGTTGACTGCTCTTAAAAACTCAGTATATTAGTCTATTTAAAATTTTAATATATAATTTAATATTCTTTAAAAATATTATCTTAATAATTTCCTATGTTTTGATACTATCTATGGATTTAGTCTAATTCATTTAATTTAGTTTTCCCTCCTAATTTGTCAGTACTACAAATAAAACGATGAATAAACAAAATTTCACATACAATTTTGACTATATTTCCAGATTTGCCTGGTGATTTATTTCCAGAGTAAATTACTAGGCCCCAAATTTGAACATTTTAAAGGCTGTTAATACAAGCTGTTCTATCATTTATTTACAATGGATTTTTAAACATGAAACCACTGGGTCAAGAAACTTTAAAAAAATTATGTGTCATCCAGACTGTTTTCCAAAAATGTTGCATCAACTTATGCTTCCAATAACTGTATGTACCAGATTTTATCCCACTGATAGTAATTTAGTAGGTAACAAATGAATCTCATCTGTGTTGAATTTGCATTTCTTTGATTACTAGTAAGTATGAACATTTTTATATGTTATTGGCCATCTTAATTTCTTCTTTTGTAAATTATTTATTATTCTTCTTTCTATATTTTTTCTATTAGGGTGTTATTGTTTTACTGATTTTTCAAAAGTTCTTTATATGCTAACAAAACTAAGCTCCTAAAAGCTTTTTTAAATTTTTGCAAATAACTTTTTGTTTTTTCTTTTTATTTGGTTTAGTGTAACAAAATTTTTCATTTATATGTAACCACATTTATCATTCTTTTAGTTATTTTTTCCAATTCTTGAATTCATAGAAAGACTTTGCCACATAGGAATTCTATATTTATTAATATTCTTCTAGTTTTCACTATGATTTTGTTTTTGTACTTAACAAGCCTATTTAATTGGAAAAGAGGCTATTTTCCCCTACATATTAAAAATTGTCTGATATCTCAAGAAATCTTACCTTTCTCTACAGATTTGTTATTCAATCTATATTAAGCAGTAAATTACCATATATGGGTGTTAGTCCATATTGTTTTAATTAATGTAGTTTTATAGTATATTTAAAATTCGATAAATAAAAGTCCCCTTTATTTTTTTCAAAAATAATCTTAGCTACTATCTACTAAATAAACTCTTGAATTTTAAAAATAAGATATCCCACTACACAATCCTTCTAAAGACTTTAAAAAAAAAAAAAGATAAGTTGAGAGATTTTCCATTCATGGAAGATGTAAATTCAACCAAAACTAATATACAGATGTTATGAGTACATCCATTTTACCTTATTTTTTAATTATATTTTTAAACTGGTTATCGCTAATACATGGAAACCCAATTTGAATATTTATTTTTTATTGACTTCCCTTGTCAATTGTTTTGCTTGTTTCTTTTCAGTTTTTTTTTTTTTTAAATTTCAATAGCTGTAGGGGTACAAGTAGTTTTTGGTTACATGGAGGAATAGTATAGTGGTGGAGTGATCTAGGCTTTGAATGTACCCATCAACCAACTAGTGCACATTGTACCTGTTAGGTAATTTTTAATTTGTCACTCTCCACATCTGAGTTTTCAATGATTCCCTTGTCAGTTTTAGGTTCCGTGTATTCCCTTGTGTTTTTTAAGGGGACCACATACAAGGACTGGCAATTCAGTTTGCAAACTCATCCTAGAAACAGTGCTCCATACCTCACTGCTGAATATCACTACGGTCCCCTTTGAAGTACTCCCCTTGGGAAGCTATGCATCGATGTCAGCACCTAGTTCACCTGTCAAAGCAATTTTGGAACTCTTTTTCTGAAATGGAGACCATTCCAAGAAAGTTGGAGTTTGAATTAGAACAACGAGCAAACATTAAACTTCTTGTTAGGACAACACCCTTGGGTCCCCTCCTTCTCTGGAAGATATTCTGTTCTCTCAATAAATCCTGCTTTCTAAACAAAAACAAAAACAAAAAACTTCTTGTTAAACTTGGCAAGAATAGAAATGAAATCAGGGCTATGTTTGTCCAAGTTTATGGGGATAATGTCATGAAGAAAATGACAGTGTACAAATGGATTAAACATATTCCTTGGGGCAGAGAAAGCACCCCTGATGAAGAGAGGTCAGACCAGTCAGTAATGAGCAGAACTGACAAAAACATTGCAAAAATATTCATCGAATTGTACATCAAAATCGTCAGCTGACTGTGAGAAGCATAGCAGGACACATAAACATAGAGAAACAGGAAAATCTTGCCAGGCACGGTGGCTGACACCTATTAACCCAGCACTGTGGGAGGCTGAGATGAGAGGACTGCCTGAGCCCAGCGGTTCGAGACCAGCCTGGGCAACTTGGCAAGACCTCATCTCTACAATAAATAAAAAAATTAGCTGGGTATGGTGGCGCGTACCTGTAGTTCCAGCTACTTGGAAGGTTGAGGTGGAAAGATCACCTGAGCCTAGTAGGTTGAGGCTGCGGTGGCTGTGAGCGTGCCGCTGCATTCCAGCCTGGGTGACAGAGTGAGTCTCCAACTCAAAAAAAAAGAAAAGAAAAGAAAGAAAGAAAGAAATAGGAAATTCTTAACTGAACATCTTGTCATGAGAAAGGTGTGTGCAAAAATGGTCCTGAAGGAGCTCTTGCATCATAACAATGTACCAGCTCACACAGCACTGTCTGTGAGGGAGTTTTTAGCTAGTAAAGAAATCACTGTATTGGAATACCCTCCCAACTCACCTGATCTGGCACCCAATTACTCTTTTCTTTACCCGAAGATAAAGGAAATAATGAAAAGAAGACATTTAGTGACATTCAGGACATCAAGAGTAATACAACAATGGCTCTGATGGCCATTCCGGAAAAAGAGTTCCCAAACTGCTTTCATGGGTGGACTAGACACTGGAGTCAGTGCCTAACTTCCCAAAGTGAGTACTTCGAAGGTGACCACAGTGATATTCAGCAATGAGGTGTGTAGCACTTTTTCTAGGATGGGTTCATCCTTGTGTCATCTGCATGAAAGCCACTTCCTCTCTTCCTTTCTAGTCACCTTTCTTTTCACCTCCCCAGTTCCGTTGCACTGGTTACAACTTCCTAAACAAGGTTTGATAGTTGTGATAATGGTGGTCATCCTTATCTTATTCCTGGAAATGTCTCTAGTGTTTCCCTGTTAAGATTATGCAGACTGTTGGCTGTCAACAGACATTCTGTATCATATTAAGGAAATAACCTTCTGTTGTGGACAGTGCTATCTTTTCTGTGATTGCTTCCAGGTTTTAAAAATAATTTAAAGATTTGGAAGATAAGGATCAATACATATCATTAATATATTATAACTTTTTAAGAGGACATGATAATCATGTCTTATCTGCACAAGGAAAAACATGCTGTGCATATAGATAATTCCAGAATACCTCTGGAAAGGAATATGTACTAATCAGCCTTTCTCTCAAGGGACCAGACAGTATCTAACAGTCTGGAAGCTTAGAAAAAAAAAAAGCAGGAAAGGCAGTTGTCCAGTTTGGAATGACGCGTATGAAAGGTCAAACCACCATATGATCACATCAGAGATGTGGCCTTGAGCTGACCTTGACCTCGAGTTTATGTAGTGCAGAAGGTACAGGCTGAAGGAATCTGGTAAACTGTGCATGGTTCTGGGAGGCAGCAGTTCATCTGGTGTCTATTTATGCCTGAAGATATCCAACACTTAGGGAAGATAAAATGGAATTGACCAAGTGTACAGAGTTTGAACGTAATAAAGAAGGGGAAAAGTGGAGAGCAGGAATGCTCTTGTGGGAGAACTGGGAAACCAAGCCTGAGTTATGACCTAGTGAGCCCTCTTTTGAAACCATTGTCCCAAGTTAAGGATGTAAATGAACCAAAACTGAAGGTACCCCCTGAAAGGACCCTAAGGTAAGTAAGATTGGAAGCAAATGGAGAGGGTATTGTACCAACTTCTGATCTTTAGAAAGAGGTTGTTGTTTTTAAACTCAGGAATAAACGTGTGATTTTATCACATTTCTTTTGAAAGTCTATTGGAACAATCTACCATTTTATTACTTACTTGCTATCCTATGCTATACTAACTACTTACTTAGTATTACCATAGTTTGGATTTCTGGAAGACATACTACTTGGCCTTAGTGTGTTTGTTATTCTCTTAACTGCTAGATGTAATTTCTATCCCTTTATTTAAAATATTTGCCTCTATTTTTACAGGGAACTGAATCTACAGAATTTTTTTTTCACTCCATCTGTCGGGTTTTGTCTGAATTATGCTGACTCTTTAAAATAAGTGGGGAAGTTTCCCACCACTTATATTTTGTTTGTTTGTTTGTTTTGAGTTGGAGTCTCACTCATGTCGCCCAGGCTGGAGTTCAGTGGCACACTCTCGACCACCGTAGCCTCGACCTGCTGGGTTCAGATGATCCTTCAGCCTCAGCCTTCCAAGTAGCTGGAACTACAGATGCACGCCACCGCGCCCAGCTAATTGTGTGTGTGTGTGTGTGTGTGATTTATTGTAGAGCCGAGGTCTCACCAAGTTGCCCAGGCTAGTCTCATACCCCCAGACTCAGGCAATCCTCTCCCCTCAGCCTCCCAAAGTTCTGGGATTGCAGGTTGAACCACCGCGCCCGGCCCACTTATGTTTTCACTAAAGCAGTTTGCATACGCTGAAACTGCTGTTTGCAAGAATGTGCCCATAAAACCATGGCAGCCAAGAGCACTTTCCAAGTGTTGGGTTTGATTTCTACTGATGCCACATAGAGTTTAATTCACATTGGGAGGAATTTTTGTTATTTTAATAGTTGGGTTGTTTTTCAGATAAGTTCCACAATCCCTCCCAGGCCCATTCATACTGACAAAGTTCACACAGATATGATTCTGCCCTCAAGGCACTAAAGAGCTCCCTTTGCTCTTTTTGCATCACTGATTCTGGTACAGGATGATAGATACCTGAACAGAGCACCCCTAGGTTTATTATAGTTGGTAAACTTAATAAAAAAGGAAGTAACTTTCTAGCTGCAGAGTGGAGCATTTAATTAATTGAAGCACTTGTAAAGTCAACAAAAGTAGTTTTATGGAAAAATCTGAAAAAGAAGTCTCTAAAAAAGAATGATTAGAGACAGAAAAGACAGGAGACTGAGGTTTTTAAGGTAATAAATTCAAGAAAACATTGGTTGCAAATGAAAATATTTCAGGAAAAGTTAAATCAAAATATACATACTTGACTGCTTTGTTTTTTCCATTGGATAAGTAGAATTTCTGGTCTTTATTGTATTCATCAAATACTCCCCATCGTAGGTGAGCCCATTCATGGACAAACACCCTACCTGTGAAAAAATATTTTTAAACACCTGCTTACAATAAGAATGGCAAAATTACCTTCTTACTTTGGGAGAAAGCAATTTGTTGGAATGTATATTATACTTTGCTATGTTAAGTTTTGTTTTAAAGACTTGATTTTTTTTTAGTAGGAGTCTCACTCTGCTGCCCAGGCTGGAGTGCAGGGATGCCCTCACAACCACCGCAGCCTTGACCTGCTGGGCTCAGATAATCCTTCCACCTCAGCCTTCCTAGTAGCTGGAACCACAGGTGCATGCCATCACACCCAGCTAATTTTTGCTTTATTGCAGAGACGAAGTCTCACCAAGTTGCCCAGGCTGGTCTCGAACCCCTGGACTCAGGCAATCCTCTTGCCTCTGCCTCCCAAAGTGCTGAGATTACAGGTGGGAGCCACTGTACCCGGCCTAAAGACTTGACTTCTTAGAAAGGTCTAATATGACAGCTGTACATTTCAGTAAAATATAAATACTGACTTTGGCTCATCAAATGATAATCAGACACCTAGCGAGTGCCAGGGAGTTATTCGTACGAAGACAAAACAACTGCCCTGTCCTCACATAGCTCTTGGACTGGGGAGGACATGCACAATCAGGTAATCAAAATGCTTGGCAGTGTGGATGTCCTGACGGAGGCCAGCGAGGCTGCCATGGGGGCCAAGGCATCCCTAGAGCAAGCCAGGGCAGCATTCTCAGTAAGTCCTTCTCCCTCCTGGCTCCTGTCCCATCAGACCTCGAGGCCTGCCTCCGTAACTTCTGTCTTTTTGCTCAAATCCATGCTCCCCTTTCCAGTCTCATTGCCAGTTACTCCTGAGTTACTGTAATAGCCACTAGACTGGCCTCCATGCCTCCAGCCTTCTATGGCTGCCCTGCGGTGCTCAGGGTTAAGTCCAACTTCTCAACATGGTATACAAGGTCCCTGGTGATTCGGGCCTGCTGCCCGCTGCAGCTTTATTTCTTGCTGTTCTAGATCCATGTCCAAAACTCTGCAACCATCATGAATTCCTGAACTCCTATTACTTTTGAGGTCACATCAAGCTGTTGCTTATCTCTGTTCCTTTTCACATCTTTTGCCTCTGCTTAGAATATCCTTCCCCCATCTCTGTCTGAATGACACCTAATTCTTCTTTCTTTTTTTTTTCCAGTTGGAGTCTCACTCTATTGCCCAGGCTGGAGTGCAGTTGCACGCTCACAGCCACTGCAGCCTCCACCTGCTGAGCTAAGGTGATCCTTCCACTTCAGCCTTCCAAGGAGCTGGAACTACAGGTATGTGCCCCCGTGCCCCAATTTTTTTTTTTTTTTTTAATTTATTGTAGAGATGAGGTCTCACCAAGTTGCCCAGGCTGGTCTTGAACCCGTGGGCTCAAGCAATCCTTTCACCTTGGCCTCCCAAAGTGCTGGGATTATAGGCATGAGCCACTGCACCCAGTCTACCTAATTCTTCTTTCAAAATCAAGCTTCTATTCCCGAGAAGCCTCCAGGTCATCCTCAGACCAGGCGAAGTACCCTTCCTTCGCACCTTAATATCTCCTGTTAGGCACTTACCATGTGGAATCGTTATTGCTACTTGCTTGCCAGTCTTCCACACTAGATACTTTGTCTCCACGAGGTCAGGTGATATGACTCTTTCCTTGTCATATCTGGGCTCTTACTGTTTAGAACTGAACAGGCACTTGGCTGGGCACGGTGACTCAAGCCTGTAATCCCAGCACTTTGGGAGGCAGAGGCGAGAGGATTGCCCGAGACCAGGGTTCAAGACCAGCCTGGGCAACTTGGTGAGACCTCATCTCTATAGTAACTCAAAAAGTTAGCTGGGTGTGGTGGCACATGCCTGCAATTCCAGCTACTTAGAAGGCTGAGGTGGAAGGATTCCCTGAGCCCAGCAGGTCGATGCTGGGGTGGCCGTGAGCATGCTACCACACTCTAGCCAGGACGACAGAGTGAGACTCTGACACAAAACGAAACAAAACAACAGGCACTCAGTGACATTTGTTAAATTTGGATAAAATCTTAGTGACTCACATACAGCTCAGTTTTTCTGGAATGTAAATTCTAAGAAAAGATAGGCTAAATTTGGAGGGTTATGGGAGGGACAGCATATGGAAGAAACTTGAATAACCCACACAAAAGATTTGGACTTTATTCTGAAGGTGCTGGGAAACAACTGATGGTCTCTTAAAAGCAAACAAAGGCGCAGGAGTGGAGACACAATACAGAAAGCAGACATTGTCGAGGAATCACATTGTATGTGATTGTGATGGCTGGAGCAGGATCAGGAGTGGGGTGGGCAGGTAAGTGAATCAATTCAACACAGTTATTGAGTTGTACATTGGGAATTTTCTGTTCCCGTTATGGAGGTGAACTGGAGAACAACAAAGACCTTATTTATCATCTCTTTCTGATAAATAAGGTCTTTAAATGCTCTAGTGTGTTTGGGTGTGAGGTCTGGATAGGGTTCTTTTGTCTGCTTGTTTGTTTTCTCTGCCTTATCTGTTTAAATAAACAGAATCAAACTAGTTCTGAAAGATCCAAATCTTTTCTGAGATAAAGAAACCCAAGATTAGTTACTTAGTAACTGGTCACATATGATTATACTTGGAAAGTTTATTTTGTATGTACTCTACCGCTTGTTTATTTTAATATTTCCTTCAAAGATTGCTAGATATAGTTCATACAGAAATGGTAGAGTTTGCTGGGCACAGTGGCTCACGCCTATAATCCCAGCATTCTGGGAGGTAGAGACAAGAGGATTGCCTAAGCCCAGGGGTTCGAGACCAGCCTGGGCAACTTGATGAGACCTCATCTCTACAATAAATAAACAACAACAATAACAACAAAACTGGGCATGGTGGTGTGCACCTGTAGTTCTAGCTACTTGGAAGGCTGAGGTAGAAGTATTGCCTGAGCCCAGCAGATCAAGGCTGCGGTGGCCATGAGCATGCCACTGCACTCCAGTCTGGGTGACAGAATGAGACTCCAACTCAAAAAAAAAAAAAAAAGAAAGAAAGAAAGAAAAAGAAGTGAAATGGTAAAGTTTATTTTGTGATGGAAAATTGGCATTTCTCTTTGGTTACGAGTTTTGAGAGCTAATTGTAAAGATAATGGTCTGTGACTCAGTGTGATCCACAGACCAGCGATATCAAATCTGCTGTGAGCTTGTTAAAAATGCAGATTCTTGGTCAATGCCTTGCTAGACTCTGATGTAGCCATGTGTTCTTTGAGCTATGACTGTCACCACACTTCCTGGCTTTGGCCCCTTCCCCCACCTTGGGGAGGTGAATCGTCTGTCTCTCTCTCCCTCTCTCTCTCTCTCTCTCTAATTTACTTTTAAATAAACTATATTTTCTAATCAACTTCTGTGCAATTCTTTGCATCTTTCTTTTTCTTTTTCTTTCTTTCTTTTTTTTTTTTTTTTGAGTTGGAGTCTCATTCTGTCGTCCAGACTGGAGTGCAGTGGCCACTCCTGGCCACTGCAGCCTCGACCTGCTGGGCTCCGGCGATCCTTCCGCTTCAGCCTTCCAAGTAGCTGGAACTACAGGCGTGCGCTACCATGCCCGGCTGATTTTTTATTTATTGTAAAGATGAGGTCTTGCCAAGTTGCCCAGGCGGGTCTCGAACCCGCGGGCTCAGGCAATCCACTCACCTCAGCCTCCCAAAGGCGCGGGATTACAGGCTGAGCCACCGAACCCGGCTTCTTTGCATCTTTCATGCGACATCGGATCTCACCCCAGACACCCACACTCCCAGCGGGCCTGACCTAATATTCTGAAGGCCCCGCTGGGAGAGCGTGAGTCTAACATTTTTGGAAGTTCCACCGAGATCTGCCACTCTCTCACTGTCATACCCCTCTCCCACCGAGACCTGGCTCTCTCTCTCTCCTTCCAAAAGCCCTTAAATATGCCCATTTTGTGGCCTTTGAGGTCACACTTGCCTCTGAGTGTTGGCCCCCTTTCCAATCTGTGAAAGGTGAATAATAAACTTTATTTTTTTTTACTTTCAAAAAAATGCAGATTCTTGAGTCACATCCCACACTTACTAAATCAGAATCTGCATTATAACAAAATTCATTCATAATTGGAATGCACATTATTCTGAGAGCACTCTGCGTATGTCGCCATCTCGTGACTACCACGTGAATTGCACGCAGGAGACAGCTGAGTATACAGATCCACAGAAACCTATTCAGCTATTTTTCAGTTATAATACGATACTATAATACTTTTTACAAATTTTAAAATACCGTATTTTCACGTGGATGCAAAATAAAACATTAAATTTCTGGGCTAAAAGTGCTAGAACTTCTAAGTGAAATGCCTGTTCTATTTTAAATGAAAAAAGTTGTCTTCGTTTATTTATAATAGTTTATTTGCCTTACATGTGCTCACTCACAAAAATAGTGCAAGTGTTGGTCCAGTTTGAATCCAAAATAGTTAACCTTTGTGAGAACGATAGTAGCATTTTTCATACCTTGTGGTCCATATTGAGGCAACTTTTTTCCTGCTAAGAAGTCAGGGGTGAGGTGAATTCTGTCACCCTTTTCTCCACACTTTCCCATCTGCTCAGTGTAGGGTTCATCGTTACCTGGAGGATTTGGTTCTGCAACCAGAACGTCAGCCTGAGATGTAAGAAAAACTTTTTGCTGTCACAAAGTTTCAGCCAACAAATGACCTTATTCATACTGGAGTATTTTAAAACAATTCATTTGATTCTGCCACATTTCGATTTTTTAAAAGTTTGGGTTACAGAACAAAATTGAATTTGAAAGAAGAACTGAAAAAAAAAAAGAAAGAAGAACCTGATGTTTCTCACATTTTTGTAGGTCTCGAGTTTGGGTCTCACATAGTCAGGTTTTGTCATCCACTTTTCGGGAATCAAAATGGCAACATTTTTGAAATAAAATCGTTTTTCTGTAGCTTCAAACAGGTATGGAGATGCTTGGGTCACCATGTCCTGAAAAGAAAAAAAAAAAAAAAAAGCATACATAACAATGGACTAAAAATAGATTAAATTGCCAATCATTTTATTAATAATTTACATCTGTATTTAACATCTTCAAAAACTACTTATTCATCAAAATGGAAAGAGGACATGTGAAAATACCTTTTAGTAATCATAGCAAAACTTTTCGAGCATTTACCACACACGCTGCATCGCAGAGCAGTCATTAACAAAGCAGTCATTAACAGCAACAATGCAGACTCTAGAGGCACTCTTACCCTGGCTGTATCACTTATTGGGGTACATTAGGCAGTTTCTAATTCAGAGCCTCAAGTTTCTCCATTTATAAAATGCAACATTATAGTGACTAGCTGATAAGGTTGTGGTGAGAGACGAAGTCAAACATGTGATGTCCTGGGAACAATGCTTACTTCGCGTAAGTAAGAGCTCCTTAGAAGTCAGCTGCTAGAGTCATTTCACTGGATCTTTTGAGGCTCAATAAAGCTTTGAGGGTGAACTGAGAATTAGAGAGTATAATTCCTACAGCAAGTACTAGTGAAGAGAAAAAGGGAATAGGCTGTTTGATGCTAAATTAAACTAAACTAATTAAATGAAGCTAATTCAATACTAGAAGTTAGTACTTATTGTTTTGCGCAATATGGTACTAAGAGTTAGATATCAGAAAACGGCTTAATTATATATTTTCAAATTGCACTTAATTTTATGTCTCTAAAACAAAAGAGCTACTGTATTAAAAAGTATAAATGTCTCTGCAGATGCCTTGAGATGCAGAGACAAGAGATATGAGAGAGAGAGTGTTGAAAGATGTTGTTCCAGAAAAGGGGCATTGGGTCTGTTAGGACTGAAAACCACTGGTCTCAAGTATGAGACGGAGGTGAAAAGAGGGCTGAGGACAGGGGGCAGGTGGGGAGATGTCAGCTTTTAGAGGTGGGGAGAGGAGGAGCCAGTGGAAGAGCCCAGAAGGAGCAGAACACGCGTGGGAAGGAAATCAGGAGCCAGGGGCTTCATGTGTTGTAGGAAGGAGTGCACAGTCATCAGCATCCAGCACTGAGCTGAGCGTCCACTTAGTAAGAAGAGTGAGAGCTGATCGATAGATCTGGCAGCATGGGCCAGCCCTTCTAGAGGAATGGAGGAGACAAGAGAGAATTCAAGATAGTGGGAGGTGGGGAAATGTGGGTGGTGAATAGACAACAGGTCCAGCCATTTTCTTTAAATTAAAGGAGAATGAAGGAACGAGGCAGCAACTGGAGGAGGGCTTTGGGTCAAGGAAGTTTTGTTTGTTCGTTTTAATGGGGACTGTTGTAACCTGTTTCCATGCCCACAGGAAAAACTGATAATGCAAAAGAAAAAGGGAATAATGGTCAGGCGTGGTGGTTCACGTCTGTAATCCTAGCACTTTGGGAGGCCGAGGCGAGAGGATTGCCTGAGCCCCTAACTTGGAGATCAGCCTGGGCAATGTGGTGAGACCTCATCTCTACAATAAATCAAAAAATTAACTGGGCGAGGTGGCACATGTCTGTAGTCCCAGCTACTTGGGAGGCTGAGGTGGAAGGATTGCCTGAGCCCAGCAGGTCGAGGCTGTGGTGGCCGTGACCTGCCACTGCACTCCAGCCTGTGCAAGAGAGTGAGACTCCAACTCAAGAAAAAAGAAATAAAAAAGGGAGAGTTACGGGAGCAAAGTCCTTGTTGGGACCGACCAGAGTGACTAGACTCCGTTGTCTGGTGGGGTTGGCCTTGGGAGCAGAAACAGCTCATCATGTTATGGGAGAACAGTACTTGAGTATTGGTGCAGAGGTCCAGCCTGCTCTGACAATTCCTAATAGGATATACTTTGGGAATTTAGTTTATCTCTCTGAGTCTCAGTTTTCCCTTTCAAATAATGATACTGATGGTTGCCTTGCTAGTTTTTGAAAAAGTCTTAATGATTGCATTTTCCTCTTCCAAAAGACCCCGATTTTAAACAATCAATAGAAGAATTTAACATTGTGCCATTTTAAAAGTGAGAAAACCAAGTCAAGATTACCAAAACATAGAAAAGTAGTTGCAAAACTTCACGTTAGGGTATTATATTACAATTTGACTTGTGACATGTGAATCCCCCCGCCCACCAAAAGTGAATTTCCAGTGTCTCCCAGGAAGAATAATCAGCAGCATGAAATACCCTTGTCTTTCATGTTTTAATAGAAACAGTAATACGGGATCTTTGGCATCTGTTCTAGATTTTGAGGAGGGGACTTCATATCCTAATAGACACTTAAACTTCTCATGCTGAGAAAAGATTGGGGGTAACACAGGTTATAGGATGGACTAGAAATTCCTTAAGGACAGGGATAGTCTGTTTACCACTGGGATCCAGTATCTGATATCATTGAGATGCTTTCCAAATATTTGATGAGTGAATGAGCAAATGGATGATTAAAGTGGTTTTGGTAGATGGCAAACTGGTATTGCGGTGTCTAGACAGGCAGTGCCTGGGTACCTATGCATTGAGGAGACCCCAAAATAATCCTATTGTGTATTTTTGTGTGTGTCTGTGTGTGTGTGTGTGTGTGTGTGTGTGTGTGTGTGAGAAAGAGAGAGAGAGAGAAAGAGAGAGAGAGAGAGAGACTCTCCCTTCCTCATCTCGTGAAGTGTACTCCCATAGCTTCTGTAATTAACACTGGCAAGAGTGAAGTGGATGGAATTGGTGCAGTATCATCAACTGGTCAGTCTTGTAGGTGGGGAATGTTGAGGACTGTCCTGCTAAAGCAGGCATTTAAAACGCTAACTCAGAAGCTTCTGTCTCCACAGGGGCACCACAGGCACTCTGTTGGAGCAGAGCGAAGCTAGCTGGGAAAGGTAGCCCAGCCCACAGTGAGATCCCTCAACTCTGCAGAACTGGAACATCAAATAAGGAGGAATTCGCTTTTATTAACTACTCAGCATTATATTAGCTTAACTCTTCAAGTGTTCTTGTTGCAGAGAAGGAAATGGTGGAAGCCTATCTCACACCCACCTCCTCTAGGATTTATACTAGAAAGTTAATTTAATAATTGTGATAACTACAAATCTTAGTAGGCAAACCTCCAAAGAGAGTGAGGTAGAAGCACTGGAAAGCTCTAAGCGCCATCTACTACAAGTTGCCACTGTCATTAGAGAAAAGCGTCTGTGTTCTCCTTCTGGCATGTTCCTGAACCCTAAAGTCCAGCCAGAGATGGAAATACACTGCTTACATTGTTGCTGATGCTACTTCCAAATTTAGAGAAGACCAAAAACTCATGCAAGTGTTGGGAGCCAACATCTATAGCTACATGGCTGAGGCCTGTAAAGGCCCATCTGGAAGATCGCCTCTGACATAGGATATCAGTTATACCTATAATATTGGCGTGTGATTAGTGACCAGTGTGCATACATGGCAGTAAAACTTATAAATAAATCTCTATACACCTGATGGAAAGTTGCATAGCAGAATTATTTTTCTCTGTCTTTCTAAGTTTTACTTCTTTCTAGATATTTTTTAACTTCTATTTCCTGGTAGACTGGTTAGTTAGCTCTTGTTCCCAAAGGCAGTTTCTCCTAGGATTAAGATTAGAAACTAAGTTACCATAATAGTTTTATTGCCCTGCCTCTAGTCAGGCTGCACGTTTTTTCTAGTTTTGTTACATGCCGAAACTCTGTTTGCTTCAGCCCGTGGTCATCATCATGGTAACCATGCAGCCCATTATCCAAGAGTGTGACAGCTACTATTTGATTTTTAGAATAGACTTGTTTGAATAAAACATACATTTAAGACGATGCAATTTCTATCGAAAAGATTTAAACAGTAATAAGCATTCATAGAAAACTTTTAAGTTTTGTTTAAGCTTTTAAGTTTCCCTTTCTTCAGATTATGACTTTAGTTC